TGTGTACATTAATGCAATCATGGGGTACAGTGTGGTGTTTTCATATACAATTTGAAATATTTTCATCAAACTGGTTAACATAGCCTTTATGTCATTTTCTTAGTTATTAAGACCTTTATATTCTACTCTTAGAAAGATTCACTTGTACCCTTGTAAGATAAACCATAGAAGTGACTCCTCCAATCACCCTCCCTTCCCCCTCCCACCCCTCCCCATATCTCCCAATTTCTTAAGACAAAGTTTATTCTTCTTAAAGTCATAACAACTCTAATTAGCAGAAAAGAGTTACAGTGTCACATACTTAACAAATATCAACATAAAAGGTTTTGTGAAAGTTTTTTACAATTAAGTTTAGGTTATTTCATCTTATTGCTACTATACATTCATCTATTAGGTATAACAATACACTGAATTTACCTTCTCGGCATCACAGTATTAAGAACCATCCATAGTTTATTGACTGTTTGAAGAATTCTCCGTGGAACCCCTGAATTCAACAGCTGATTCATATTGGATATTAATACATCCGCATATGGTATAAGTTCACTGGCAGAGAGTAGAGTCAAGTGTTCTATAATCTGCATCACTTGTGTGTAATTTACTGGGACAGCTGAAAATGCTGAAAAGAACATTAAGCAGTCATAAACTAAATTCTGTGAAGCTTGCCAGGCAGGGAAGTAGTATTGCTCTCTCAGACTACAGGCCAAACAAATCAAGAAAATGATGTTGCTGAAAAGTAAAACTTTCAATCCTAGCTATAGTTTGACTAAACTTAAAATGAGGGCCTTAAGAAAAATTTATGGAAGTGCAGTTCTTATTTCACAACAAGAAATCTCATTTTAAAAATCAGTAGTGTTTAAACCCTAATCTCATTTTCTTGGTGATGAGACAGATTTTAAAAACACAAGCAAAGAGGTATACTAAAGTATCGCTTGTGGTCACTAACATTCATTTGAGAAGTTCAAATTTCCTGACACTTTACTCCAAGTGCCCTCTTTATAGGATGTAAACACCCAGCAAACTGCTGTTACAAAAAACATCTAGAATTGTCTTTTCCAATAAAGTAGTCACTAACCACATGTGGCTATTAAACACCTGAAATGTAACTAGTCCAAATTGAAATGTGTTGTAAAATGCACACAAAATTGCAAAGACTTAGTAGGGGGGGAGCAGAATATTAATAATTCTTATGTTGATTACATGATGAAATAATATCGGATACATCTGGTTAAATAAAATGATTATTTAAATTAACACTACCTGTTTTCTTTTTACTTTTTTTTT